TGAACATTGAATGAAGAATTGCAGGATTTGCCATCTGTAGACAGAATTGATCCAGGATTATTGGAAACTGGCTTGTGGATTACATATATTGGCCATGGCATATTGTATCTGTAGATGGGTAAATACCAGATCCAGTGCTCATTTCACAAGAAGCTTTAGGCTAAAAAATTGGTTTACTTTGTTTCAGTAAAATAAATTTAAATGTAATATTTAGGGCTTAAGCCAATATCACAAATTAGTAAAGGCTGCTACTAAAAGTTATGATGATAATAATAGAAATAGTAATAAAAATGTTTACAAATGTAGCTGTTGTCCAAGAAAAAAATATATTATTAACTTATCTTGCCTGAAACTGCATTCAGACAACTTGAAGGTTATCTGACATGAAGGAGGAAGGACAAGATGGTGTCACTGGATACCAGAGAGATTTTAAGAACAGACTAGCCAATCTTTGACAGCTGCAACAAAATTGGACAAATGAGGTAATTGGGCAATTTGTCAACAGCCGTCGCCATAGAGACGCACTTCTCTAGCTCTGTGCGTCAAGTTACAAAATGATATTGGTTTGATTTCAAGAAGACCACCAAGAGTTGTCACTGCCACTCGTCGTGTCAGAAGGCGGATATGAGATTCAGGCATGACGATGACATGTTGCGACATTGGGTATAAACTGTGCAACGAATTACATGTGGTAATTCATCAATAAATTTGAACAGCAGGAATAAATACCCCCCCCCCCCCCCTTAAAAAAAGCTTTGTTGTTAAAACTTACAAATTTAAATTCATGGTATTCACAAGTGACGTGGCATCATGTTAGAAGCTATATAATTTTGGGAATATCTAAACATGATAAACCACGAGAAGGTTGGAGATAAGAAAAGTGATGTTTTTTTCCAAGTAATTGCTGCTCACTCCTGTGGCGAAGAGAAGAATGAGGGATTAAATAGAAAGTGATGGAGTGAAGCATGATACAACACTGCGTGGGACCAAATTATGAAATCATCGATCAAGCTTCTGTATTTTTTTTTTTTTTTTTTTGTGCTGACAGTATTGTTTGACTATGCTCAAATAGTAAGCTGGCAAGTCATACTGTATAGTCTAAGTTACATAAAAATTGTCATTATTATCATTTACTTTAGATGGGCATCATTTTCTTATGTATGAATTCTATTGTCACTTTTCAACTAAAATATGTGCTTATGATTATTCTTGGATTCCTCATGGTGTGATTAAAAAGGCTACTACAGATCACCTTCTCGGATGTAATTTTTTATCTTTTTATTAACATTTGAAAAGGATTGTGGACAGCCTCACAACATTTTAAATCTCTTCCCTCACAGTTCCAGTAGAAAAGATATATGCTAGGGAAATGATATTTGATCTAATAACAATGCAAATGTACTTAATAATAGAATGATTTAATTAAATACAACCACCATGTCGTCCAGAGGAATTATAGCCAGATCAATTCCTACTATGAGGTTCTATAAGTCCACAGTAGACTTGACTTGAAGTTCTTTCTGCAGCTCATTGCGCAACCATTGATCAGTAGATCTGGAAATCCATCATCATAATGAAATATTCTGTAATATTGTATTCCAGAACATTGTATCATATTTTTCTGATGAATGGTAATACTAATAGGAATTTTTTTAAGCCTTTTTTTCAAGTTCACTATACATTGCCCTGTACTTGAATTCAATTTTTTTCATGAAAATGTGCCTTTTTGACTAGTTTACTTCTATTAAAAGTCTCTGTATTGATTGGTTTATAAAGCTTCTTGCTGATCAGATCAATTATAACAAAGGAATCTTGTTGAGTGTTGAGGGACAGAGGGTGACTTCCTGTTCCGAGATCAGCTGCTTTACATAATATTGCCTGATCTGTTGGTTAACCACTACCATCACCAGACGATTCATTACCTCTATTCCCTGAGAGGCTTAGCATTTGGAACAAGCTAGAAACATTCATTCCTCTTTGCGTGTTGGGCAGGACTAAAAGGGGTGGATTTAGGCCATCTTCTGGGTCTTCCGGAAGATGGTCAGATTTTCAAGTTTATATTGATGGGTATGTATTTTTTTTCTTTCGGAAGACGGTCAAAAATGGAGGATAGATTGATAAAGATAATTCGAAACCTGTCAGAAAATATCTCTGGATCCGCCCCTGACTAATTATCTAAAACAGGAATAGGAGATTTTGGATCTGGCCAAAAAAANTGTCCTTCCATAACAGCAAAAAAATACCACGGAATGGCCCTGGAGTGAATCATGATACAACACTGCGTGGGACCAAATTATGAAATCATCGATCAAGCTTCTGTATTTTTTTTTTTTTTGTGCTTTTTATCATCTGTTTTCATAGGAAAGTTTCCACTGACAGTATTGTTTGACTATGCTCAAATAGTAAGCTGGCAAGTCATACTGTATAGTGTAAGTTACATAAAAGTTGTCATTATTATCATTTACTTTAGATGGGCATCATTTTATTATGTATGAATTCTATTGTCACTTTTCAACTAAAATAAGCGCTTTTGATTATTCTTAGATTCCTCATGGTGTGATTAAAAAGGCTACAACAGCTCACCTTCTCGGATGTAATTTTTTATCTTTTTAATAACATTTGAAAAGGATTGTGGACAGCCTCACAACATTTTAAATCTCTTCCCTCACAGTTCCAGTAGAAAAGATATATGCTAGGGAAATGATATTTGATCTAATAACAATGCAAATGTACTTAATAATAGAATGATTTAATTAAATACAACCACCATGTCGTCCAGAGGAATTATAGCCAGATCAATTCCTACTATGAGGTTCTATAAGTCCACAGTAGACTTGACTGGAAGTTCTTTCTGCAGCTCATTGCGCAACCATTGATCAGTAGATCTGGAAATCCATCATCATAATGAAATATTCTGTAATATTGTATTCCAGAACATTGTATCATATTTTTCTGATGAATGGTAATACTAATAGGAATTTTTTTAAGCCTTTTTTTCAAGTTCACTATACATTGCCCTGTACTTGAATTCAATTTTTTTCATGAAAATGTGCCTTTTTGACTAGTTTACTTCTATTAAAAGTCTCTGTATTGATTGGTTTATAAAGCTTCTTGCTGATCAGATCAATTATAACAAAGGAATCTTGTTGTGTGTTGAGGCACAGAGGGTGACTTCCTGTTACGAGATCAGCTGCTTTACATAATATTGCCTGATCTGTTGGTTAACCACTACCATCACCAGACGATTCATTACCTCTATTCCCTGAGAGGCTTAGCATTTGGAACAAGCTAGAAACATTCATTCCTGTTTGCGTGTTGGGCAGGACTAAAAGGGGCGGATTTAGGCCATCTTCTGGGTCTTCCGAAAGATGGTCAGATTTTCAAGTTTATATTGATGGGCATGTAATTTTTTTCTGTCGGAAGACGGTCAAAAATGGAGGATGGATTGATAAAGATAATTCGAAACCTGTCAGGAAATATCTCTGGATCTGCCCCTGACTAATTATCTAAAACAGGAATAGGAGATTTTGGATCTGGCCAAAAAAAAAAAAAAAAAAAAACATGGAGGTTACAGAGGGTCATGTATAATAAAGATAATAATAATAACAATACTTTATTGAGCACTCATATGTTTACAAAGTGCATTTTACAGGTTCTCTACACTATTAGGGGAATATTATGAGGAATTCGTAGGATGTCTACATGCAGATTGGACCCATGGTAGTAATTATATATCATTACGGTTTCAGTTTTAAGTGGATTTTGATTTATTACAAAAAAGTACTCTTTTGTAAAAAGAAGTCATATTATGGTGATTAGTTACTATTAATACGTGTGATAGCAAATGAATAAATACAGATCTGAATTTTAAGGAAAGCTTTTTTATGATACCTGGTACATCACTTTTCTTTCTAATAATACGAAGAAAGTCTGTCAAAAAGGCACATCATCAAATAAAAAACACATTTGAATTCTAGCACACTTGCCTAGGCAGTGCATTGTGAACTTGACTAATGCGAAAAGTGTGCATTAAGTATTGTTCAAAGGGAAACAGCTTGTAAAGAAATCACCATTTAACTCTTGAAATGTATTTTTAGGTGAAGTGATTTTTAAACTGTTTCAAGTAATAGCGTGTATGTGCCACTTATTACACAGTGTGACCTGAGAAGGATAGCAAGGGCCAATCGAGACAGATTGAGATTTATATGCAGGATCTCTACAGACTTTTTTCCAAGAGAAAATCAATTTGGTACACAAATTACTTCAAGAGCAAGGCAGGTAGTTTTTTTCCTGAAGCCGTAGATAATTTTGCTTTTCTGGAAAGTATACCTTGTAAGGATTCAGCACAAAGTAAGGTTTGCATGGAAGCTCTTGTGACGCCATTGAAGTGATTGTGGGGATATTTTATTTTTCTTTTAGGTAAGATCAGCTATGTACAACAAGTGTCTTTAGTTAGTGGTCAATCTTGAGTATATTCACAAGTGTGTATGATCTAATCTTGTGATCTTTTTCTTATGTGAGGTCAGATAATTGAAGTCTATGGCCATTTCATATAGGTTCAGTAGTGTGCACCACAGTGCTATGTGTATTCCTGGTGTATTCCTGCCTGCGAATCACCAGATAGTAGACTGATCTAGACTAAACTTGTTAGTCGTCTAAGATCAACTAGAAAATGTGATTAATCTACTGTAGTCTGCCTGAAGCAATGCAGTCTTCTCTGTTCTTGTCAAGTGGATATGGATGCAATGATGGTGTAATATTAGTCTGCTCCATTGTGAAACATTTTCAATTGCCTATTTTTCAAAATCTTTTAAGAATTCCTTTTTTTCTACAGACAAATATTTACTTCATTCTTTTTCTAAACTATGTAGACAGCGGGCAAGAAATTCACCACTGTACATCATCAGTGCTCAGATCTATTTCTGCAGGTGCTTCGTTGGGCCACGCAACGCCTGACCCTAATTTTTCATGGTGTTAATGTTTCCTTTTTCTCATTCCAGCCATTCAATCTCTGGACACATTGAATGGCCAGATTGTCCAGTTTCTCTTCACACCTAAGGACCCAGATTTGGACATTGACCAAGAGTTAACTCCACGACAATGTCAGGCTTTAAAGACTTCCATGAATCTGATGCGCCGCCTGCTGGAAGATGCCCAGGGAAAATTTCGTAAAATGGTCGAGGACAATAAACATTTAGCCACACACATTGATACTTCGATAGAAATGGCCAATCAGCAAGTGCACATGCTACGTGAAGAGTTGTTGGACACAAATCGTAAACTTTTGGAGATATCTGGAGGAAGGTTTCAAAATCAAGGCAATATGGAAAATTCTTATAATGTTCATCGTAATGATGGTAAGTCTGAGCCTTTTTGAAACAGTTTTTGAATTGCCTGTTTTTAAGGTCTAATATTTCTATTTTTTCCCCACAGACAAACTTTTTGTTACTTGAGCAGTTTATGTCCTTCAGACACCTTCAGGAGTTGAATACAACTTCTCTCAAGTGAATTAAAGTTTGTTTTTGGCAAAAAAAGAAAACATAAATTCTTACATCTGTTGAAAGAGGAACTTATATGAACAAATTGCTGTTTTACTGATAAAATAATATTATATATAACTTTTTGAAATTGGCTGCCATGGCAAACAAATAAACAGACAAATGGAGGTAATATTCTTTTTCGACCTTGTTGCTTTCATCAGAGGATCTACAGTATAATAGCGACAACATTATTAAAGAGTGAGAGATGGTATTATAAATTTGTAACAGTTATTGAACTTGCTAGTATTATTGTAATTTTGCCATTTTCTGAAGTTCCAATTTTATTTCATCTCATGTAATAGATAGGCAAATACTGGTTGAACTTTTCTCATACACACTCCATGCTATTTCAAATTTGCCAACAGAGAAACAAACAGGCTGTTTCTGAAAGAATTAGTCATTGGGAAATGCAATGACATTCAAGTTGTCATACTTGCTGTCATTTTCCTGTATTGACTACTTCATCTGTAAACTTTAGAATAAGCTCTTTCCAACCTTGATATTTACAGAACATTTTGTGTTCGGAGCATTATGTCAGATGTTGGTCATAGGATAATATTAAGCTGTTTTTAAAATGTCAAGAACTTCCTGAAATGCTTGCTCATGTAAAATTTTAGACAGGTACTTCAAGAAAATGTCAGCTTTTTACATTGGATGATCTGTCAACAGGACTTGCCTTGGAGGAAATTAAGAAAAAGTCTCTAAGATATGACTGAGTGGGCAAGACATCTATGGCAGACTTGTGACCTTTAAGTAACATGACTGGTGCCGTCGTTTCTCTAAGCTCTGACTTATAGCCAGCATCCTCATTTTAAAATAAATTCAGGCTAAAAAATCAAATTGAACCAGGTTTGAAGCAGTTTGGCTGATGTCATGAAGCGCGTGAAGTGGTCAGACTTACTCCTCCCCTGCAGTACCTCACCTGTATTAATATTTTAATATGTTTATAAGAAAATAAGATATTTTGAGGCTCAAGTAGTAAAATAGTAAAATGTTATTTTAATGAAATAAAAGAGTAATCCCTTATCTGAGTCACATTGTCAGTAACTTTTTTAATGGTTTGTTTCCAGGCATGCAGTATAATAATGACCGCTCAGAAATAGCGCGTCTGAAAGAGGAGAACGCCCGTCTTCAGCAGCAGGTCCACTACCTGGACAGGGAGATGAAGGAACTGCAGCTCACCAAAGATTCCACCATGAAGTCAACCAATGGGATACCGGAGAAAGAGCTTGGGGTTGGAGAATTTGGAGAAGTTAAATTGGAGCTTCTTCAAACAAAGCAGGAATTGTTAAATGCAAAGGAAGCATTAAAAGGTACCAAGTAATGTTGTTAGTCAGTTTTATGTTAAGTGATAGAATCGTATTCAGATGAATTTTGGATTTTTTTATAATAATTTTGTTTTGTGTTTGCTTGTTTTAGATTTCAAAGACTCTTATACTAATCCATAGTTCAAATATGTCACATCTTGGTACTAGTAATTTTATTTTTATGATCAGCCTTGGCATCAAGCCCCCTCAGCCTTTTTCAGGGGTGCATATTACCTTTAAATGTCTTGCTAGTTTGACACTGTTTGTCATTCCTCAGGCATTTGCACCTGTGGGTCTCCGCCCTTTACTCGTATTTAAATAAAAATCATTCCCGTAGCATGTCAAGCACAGGTGATAGCATGTTAGCTGTTTGATGGTGTTTAAACCACCTGGATACTATGAAATATGAAGCTGTGTGTTCATGATTGTTCTTTGTTGGGAAATATTGAATGATAAAAAAGATGTGTTTTAAATATAACACATTCAGTCCCTTCTTGAAATGATTTCATGAAGTTTGCACCTGTGTAAGTCATATTTACCAGATAATTTTGTTTTGTTCTTTTCCAACCCATTACAGCTAGACCCAACTTAATAATTGGCTATCATACCATTATTCAATAATCTTGTGTCTTTTCTTTCCTTCCTTCTTGTTTAGTGATGAAAGGTGACAGAAAAAGACTAAAAGCAGAAAAACTGGACCTTCTCAGTCAAATGAAGCAGCTGTACGGCACTCTGGAAGATAAAGAGGCAGAATTGAGAGATTTTATCAGAAATTATGAGCAGAGGATGAAGGAAAGTGATGACACAATAAAACAGGTAATGGATTTTGATAGAGGAACAGTTGTTGGGTTCAATTTTTGGCTGAAGTTTATTTAAGTTCAATAATGCAGTGATGTTTTAATGATATCATTCTACATTATATCATTTTATTATATAGATTTCAGTGCACTACACAACTTAATTTTCTTAAAATACATCAATTATAGACACTATTTTTATATACTTGTTCCAGCTAAGCTCAGATAAGGATGAGATAGAAAGAGAAAAGTGGGAAATCTTAAAAAGAGCCAGAGATGCCACAGAACGATCAGTCAGCCTGCGACAGCAACTGGATGTCAAAGAAAAATACATAGAAAAACTGCAAAGGGAATTCCGAGATGTTAGTATTGATGATAATTACCAGTGAAAAAGAAGTGTATAACAATGTTTTGTTTAAAAGAGTTTCGATTGATGGATTGGTGTTATATCATAAAAATGTAACCCTTGGATGAGAATTTATTTGTGTGGCACCAGTAAAGAAGTTAAGTCTAAATGCAAAGAATGAAAATAAACATGTCTTTCTTTCGATGATAAGCTTGAAACTTAAATCTGTAGATGAAGGAGCAGCTCTCAAAACACAACAAATTTGATGAAGCAGTGTTAGATCTGGACCCACCGCCTCCCTCCCTCCGCTCTCCCAGCACTGAAGAGCTGCCGCCATATCAAGAGTCGCCACCAAATTCTGGGAAAAGTTATGGAAGTGATTCACCTTTCTGTTGTAAGTAAATCTGATAATGATATGTTTCGGTATTCTTTATGTGGTGTCAGTAATTAGATTTGCTAAAATATTTGTTTTATGTTAAAAAGTTTCTCACGGTATGTAAAAATAAGCAAAGAAGGGGGTTAAGAAATGTAATAAATTATGTGATAGTTAGTACACAGTCTGACTTTCAATTTGGCTATTGAAAAATAGTTTCATAATATTGGAACTATAGAAATTTATTGAATCTGAAAACTGACTTCTCAAGAATAGAGATTGCCATCAGTTCGAGTTGTGGGCAGGTCTGAATGAGAGTCTAATAAAAACTCCAACCAGAGGCGAATCTTATTTTGAAATTCATTAATAGTTTTCATTTTGAAATATATCATAGTATTACCTAGCAGTAATGTATAGTTTATTCAGTACATCATTCAAACTGTTAGTCTTGGTTTTCATTTTCAGTGACGCCAACCCAGAGAAACTACACAGCCGACAAGATGTCCCCGATGTCGGACTTCAACTCCCTGGAGGAGATCTCGGAGGTTCAGGACCAGGAGGACGGAAAGAAGAAACGGAAAAAAAGTTTCAGCAGCAGTATATCCAAAGTGTTCTCTAGGAATCGCAATAGGAGGTCGATCAATAGTGACCCCAGGATAGAAGGTAGGGAGATGTGTATAAGGGCTTATTCCCAATGAGACTATCACATTATGTAGCTGAATCGAAGCCCACGAGGACTCTTACTGAAAACAATCAGATTAACATGCCTTCCTCTTAAAATTTATCATTATTCAAAATTAAAAGGAATGTTAACTGATAAATGTTTATTTTATTTATTTATTTTATTTATTTATTTATTATATATATATTTTTTTTTTGTTTGTCCAGACTGTGAGAGTAACCTGAGTTCCCACTCTGACAGCAATCCTCACCTGTCTCAACTCAACCAGGAGAACTATGAGGAGAAATTGTGTTTGGTTGAGAAATGCTCCTCTACCGCAATGTCCCAGTGGAAGGCTCCAGAGGTGCTGGCTTGGCTGGAGATCACCATGTCCCTGCCTATGTATGGCAAGATGTGTGTGGAGAATGTAAAAAGTGGAAAGGTGAGGGGTTTTTTTTAATGTTTGGATTTATATTAATTGAGTTTACGGTGTGTTTTAATGCTTACGTTGGTCAACTGTGTTCCGATTCTATGCATATGATTTATACACTTCAGTGAAATCCAGCAAGGCTTGTTGTGTTTCAATATTCACCATTGAATAAAATAAAATGGATAATTTATTCAAGAACATTGCAACCAGAACGTTGATGCAGCCAATTTTTTTCAGCTTCACCTTAGCTTAAAAAAGAACAAGCAATTTATAAATGCTCATCAGACCATGGGATACAATATGTTTAATAAAAATTTTTCTAAAGCATTTTAAAATGTTTTCCTTGGTGTGTTTTTCCAGGTGCTTTTAGGTCTCAGTGATTCAGAATTGGAGTCAGCTCTAGGTATAACTCATTCCTTTCACAGACGCAAACTACGGCTTGCCATTGAAGAACAGAGAGACCCGACTTCTTGGTGAGTTTGCTTGCCATGACAGATTTTTAATTTATTTCATTTTATTTTGTTTTATTTAAAATTTGCAATGTTTTGCTTTATTTATTTATGTATTTTTATTTACCTATTTCGTCATAAAGTTCAAAAACTAGAAAACATCACTTTAACACCTGAATTCAAATGATGTTTTGTGCAATTTTTCAATAAAAAATTACCAAAACAACTGGTACAAGTAGAGATTCAGTCACTCAAATCAGCACCACAGCATGATTCAATAAGTTACAAAAATATGAAAGAAAGTGATTTCTCTAATTGTTTATTTTCAGTAAATACCCCAAGGCCAGATATGTGGACCACACCTGGGTGGCCCATAGATGGATCCACGACATAGGCTTAGGACAGTACCAAACTAACTTAGAATCAAATCTCATAGATGGCAGGATGCTGAACGTTCTTACCAAAAAAGACTTAGAAAAACACCTAAACATCCACAGAAAGTTCCACCAGTGTAGTATGTTACACGGGATAGAGCTGCTGAGGAGGGTGCATTTTGATAAAGATGTAAGAAAATGTCTTGAATTACTATTAATTTTATTGGATAATATAATATAATATAATATAATATAATATAATATAATATAATATAATATTTTTTCCTTTCCCATTTTTAGTAGTAAGAGAGCCTATCAATGTTAAAACACTCTTGTGCTCAGTAAAATTATTTATATATTTTCTGTCTCCTATTTAGTTGCTGTCTGACAGAAGATCTCAGTGTGAGACAGTGGACTGTGATCCCCTAGTCTGGACTACTGAAAGAGTGGCCAGGTGGATTAAAAATATTGATCTCCAGGTGAGATATAGTTATTCCCCTTCAAAATTAGTGTAAGAATAAATGAAAAATTACATTTTTTCCTGTGTTTAATAATTATGTAACTTACTCAGTGGCAAAAGGGAGTCACCCGTACGACCCTTCAAAATAAGTGTAAAAAAGAAATGAAAAGGCACATTTTTGGTATGTTTGATAATTACTTAATTTACATAGTCACCTGTACGACCTGTGATAAGGGCATCGATCATGAACCGCATTCAGGTACAAATAGAACGTGATAGGAAATTACATAATTATTAAAGGTGTTTTTGCCGGTGTGGTTTTGATATTGATTTCTTGGTGAGACAAATAGACATGCAGGCTGGAGTTTGCAGGGGAGGAGCTTCAATTCATATCATAGTATAAAAAAATTGACATGTCTTTAAGTGTGAGTGGGCAAGAAGTCGCGTTGTCTTTTTGAAAAAAAAGAAGAGTTACTCAAATGCTAAACCTTGCAGGGAGTGGGGAAGGGGGGTTGCCAGGGTATTCATAATTTTGTTGTTTTTCAATTCCAGGAGTACGCAGATAATTTAAAAGATAGTGGTGTTCATGGTGCTCTAATGGTGCTGGAACCTTCATTTAACGCAGAAGCCATGGCGGCGGCTCTTGGGATACCAGTTTCCAAGTCCTACATAAGGAGGCATTTGGCATCGGAGATGAATGTTCTCATTAAACCGGCCAGGTAAGATTTTGTGTAGTATACTATGTAGTGTGGTCGGTGTTTAATGATATTTTGTGTGGACAGCATCAACATATTAACAAATTGAATGTTGTTTTAACTTTTGTTGATATTTTTAATTACTGTGTCCGGCCTTGTGTGTCTCAGTTTGTTTATAAACCTATGTATTATGAAGGGCGCCTTGAGTGCGTAATATGTGTGCTAAATTATTAATAATTAAATTTATTAATTTGTTTATTTATTTATTTATTTTTTACCTTATGGCATTGGTTTTTATTTATGGTTTGAGTTTGCTTTTGATTTAAATTTTTTCGTGTGTGTGTGTGTGTGTGTGTGTGTGTGTATTGCCTGTTTTTCCATAGATGACATTCATAGTTTTCTTAGAAATGCCCAAGTGTTAATTAGCATGGAAAAAGTGAGTGCACATGTATGTGTTCAGTGTCCTGTTTTTCTTTTTTCTTCAACATTGGGAGTCAACACATTGTATATATTTTCATGGTCTGTGCCTTTCTGGTGCTGGAGCAAGTGACGGAGCTGTGAACATTTGTTATAACTGCAATAACTGGGAATCAATGTCTTTATTTTGCTTAATTTATACATACATGGGTCTCTCATTGTTCTAGATTGCAGATTTAGTTCCAAAATGAGATTTTTGTGTGCTATGAATCTGACTGAGGCAATGCAGCTTGGCTGGGGAATGAGCTGACACACACCCCTCCCCCCACCAAGTTACCACATTTATATATATTTTTCAAATACATGTGAAAATATACTGTTTGTTGCTGTGCATGCCATGGTTGATAATACTTTTATATTTTCCTTTTTTCATTTGGTTTGAGCTGGAAATCCAGGGGGATATTTATACATATAACTGTGTCACTGTTTTCAGTTGTAATAGTAGCATGTCATTTGCTTGCTAGAAATTTGAGCTCACAACTTTGAAATTTCAGGGCAGATGCAAAATGACCAGCAAACTTTTTTTGCAGTATTAGTCTCATGGATTCTGAATGAATTTGACATGACATCTCAGCATATCTAAAAAAAAGAAAATGGGCAGTTTTATCAGTATTGAGCATGGATGTATTAATTCACTCTTCTTTCTCACAAAGTAATGTTGTATGTATGAAAATTCGTGAGTTTATGTATAAATTTGTTGTTAAGTGTAATAGCACCAGTTTTTGCTCTATTGGAAGGTGTGTGTTTCTCTTTCATCATATTTCTATGTAGTGGCACTGTTTAATCTTTATAGCACTGATATCAGACCTCCACACATGTACGCTTCGCTGTTTGACCTACGACCTAAACGATGGACCTTCTTCAGGTAAAGGTATCACATAGATGACCTTCAAAGGTCATAAAGTGATCTACAGAAGTTCAAGGTCACAAAGGACATGAGAACAAATGTATTAAAAACATTGATGTATTTTTGTTGCTATTAAAGATGAATTTTTATGGAAATTGGTCTGCTGATGTTCGTATAAACAGTCATTTTTAAATGGTCCCGCATGTTTTTAGATGTACTTCAAAATCACAGAGAAAGAAAGCGAAATTTTCCTGTGGCATGTTTTATACCTCTCATGATAAAAAATGACTATTAATTACAGAGTTAAATTAATAAAGTGTTTTATTTATATATTTAATTATATATTTATTTATTTATTTGTTTATGTACAAAATGATGTACCTTGCATGAAATATCATCCATCCGTAGTCACAATTTGCACCATTTATCCAAGCATGATTTATTTCCCAATGCTAAACTATTTTATTTCAGGCTTTTTAAATGTTACATGATTCTTTTCAGCATTACCTCCTTGAAATATGTTATATTCTTTTTCATTATTTTTATCCAAATTAACTGTAAATTGTACCTTGTCATGCATTATTGAATTATGAAGAATGAAAATGAAATGTATGACTGATTCTTAGGTTTTGTTTTGCATGTGTATAATAACATGATATTGCCTATTTAATTTAAGCATGTTCAGGCAAGCATGTTTCAGTTGAGTTTGCTTTTAGCATGAAAAATCTTTTCCAGTAACATATTTCTCCTTTTCGTGATATCTCTATTTTCTATTTGCTATAATTTTTTATTTCTACAAATCCCCTAAATTAATTTTGTTCTTTTTCATAACATGTAAGTTTTCAATTAAAAAACATGAATTAATATGAAACTAATGATTTATATGGCATGATGTTAAGATACAAATAAGTAAAACCTATTACTTATACAGGCTTGTTCCTGTATGTGTATACATATCATTATTTTATTTATTTATTTATTTAATTTGTTGTTGTTGTTGTTTTCATCGAGGTGACATACATTTTAAGGCAAATGTCTCATTTTGGGGTCTTTAAAGGAATAAAAGAACAACTTCTAGTGTTTTGCAATCATTATCTGCATAATTTGATCACTTCTGAGTATACCCAGAAAAGCAAGGGTTACCAGACATATGCTTCTAGTGCCAGTGTAGATCTGGGACAAGGATTTGAAATATCACTTAACATAAATAAATATTTTCTTTTGATGAAAACACATTATATTGTTCCATGTTTAATTCCAGAACTGCACTGGAAGCAAGCAATGCCAGTAAAAAGAAAACGGCAGGAGGATCGCTCGGGCGAAGTTTTGAGAGATCTTTCCTTGGTCCTGGTGAAGATGGTGAGCAAAGGAAAAAGCCAACATTCAGGGTAAGATTATTGGAGGTAGTGAAACCCATGTTGCATTGAAATATTTTTACGTAAATGTTTTGATGATAGAAATGGGTGGCTGCAGATTTATACTCCGTTCCTATGATAAAAGTGGCACTTAAACTGTTGTTTTTACCTTGATGGAAAATTTAAACCATATTCTAAGAGACCAAAACTCCGTAACTCAAAAGCAATGCGAATTGCGACCGAGCACAAGCATGTTTATTCCATAAATCGGAATTTACTCGCCCCAAATAGGCCCTAATGGCCTCGAAATGAAAGGTGATTCGCAATCCGCGATGCTTTCTAGTTACGGAGCCCAAGTCAGTTTTTACCCATGAGTCATGACATTCCGACCCTTCATTAAGTGGGGCCTGGACCACATGACTGATTTCTTTGATAAAATGTATGTACAGACATCATGCCTCATTAGTAAATTAAACTTGTTTAGTCTCTTTTGAAACAATTTTCACTTTTTTACCATTTTTTCACTAGAGACAATGAAAATTCAGTGTCACCACATTTTTACCTTGCAGGGATCTTTGGGTAGAGCCCTAGGGAGGAAAATGAAGAATGACATCCAACAGCAGACAAGCAGATCTAGCCTCAGTTCTTCTCACAGGTCAAAAAGTATAGAAATGGAAAGTACCCCTGTGTAGCTATTTGTGAACCCCAAAAAATCTGAGTACTCCCTTGTAAACAGGATGGTTAACTACGTACAATACTGGACGATGTCTCATTTGAAAACAGGCAAGACAATGGAAATCTGGATTTTTATGATGGAAGCCCTGACCATTTACTATAGGGCTGAAATATTGCAGAGCTTTTACTACTATCTTCAGTGAAAATAAAGACAGGTCACAGTTGTACAGAAAGCAAACCACAACGTTTTATATTTCAGAGTAAATGCACATTCACATTAGATACTGAGATTTATCTGAATACATCAACAGTAACTATTCAAAAATTAAACTGTGACATTCCAAGCTTTGAGGCTACTTTTACATTTTCACAGTGGGCGTACAGTGGAAGGCATCATTTGACTAGCAACTGCCATGTCTTGATTATCTAAAGAAGAACTACTAAAAACTTGGAGAGAAAATGGGTCATTCTTATGAGACACTTCAACACTGGATGCTTAAAATTTGTCCAAAGGTTGTAACTTGTAAAGCTTCAAATAGATTTGAAATAAAGCACTGACAAATTAAGGAAGTTGGAGGGTTCATTAAAACCAAAAAATTNAAATTATCTGTGACAAAATCAAAGGAGTTCCGTGCTCGTTATTAATTTATAGCTTTAATGAAATCTTCAAAATATTTTTGCAGGATTAAAAGTAAAAAAAAATTCAATCGAGACACTTGACCACGTGCTGACACAATGAGTTTGCTTCAGTCTTCCGTCAAAAATAAAATATCGCTGAAATTTGCTTTTCTGTACAGTGGTTCAATGCTATGATTTGTGTGAAAATCGTTTTCATTAGGTCGATCAAAGCAGCTTTCAAAGGAACGTATAACGACAACATGTCACTTCCTAAATCTTTGAGTGCTCAAGTTAAATCGTTATGTAAGTTCAATGTCTTCACTGAGGCTGTGTTCAATTTAAGCCCGATACCTATTCTCTAACAGAGCCACAGGTTGATTTTTCACTAGATATTAACATATATCTCTGGTTAAATTGATGGTTGATATCTGTTCTGTGCCTCAGCAAAAATGTCCACAGAATAATAACTGCGGCCCTGGTAGAGGATACCCTAAACCCTCTTGTTTGCCTTTGTACATGTTTGTGGAAATTACTTCTCAAATGTGGATTAATTTTGTTTTCAGTGACTCTTTCATTGTAAATATTATTAGGTTGAAACCGGTGACGCTGTAATATTGCATAATTTTGGAAGTGTACAAGCGAGTGGAAAAGGACACTGGAATAAAATATCCTTTCCTTTGGATTCGGTTCTTTAATTGAACACATTTTGACATAAGCTGTTAACTTCTAAAATGAATTTATAAACAGAAATCAATTATATAAAAAGACTCGAAATTCAAAATTTTGATTGCTCAAAATAGTGCATATCTATTCAGGCAAATTCTTTTTAATACTACTACATACTGGTTCCTCTGACGCATTTATCTTTGAGTCATAAATGTGACTCTTAATAACTATAAAGGTCGTCTAAAAACAGTGTCGGAATGAAAGTGTTGTAGACCCTTGGAAAATGAAATTTCCCCAGACTGTGACCGTCTCTATTCAGATGACAATCACATATTCCAATCAGTATGGGACAAAATCCCACACCACAAAAAAAAAAAAAAAAAAAAAAAAAAAAAAAACAAAAAAAAAAAAAAAAAAAAAAAAAAAAAAAAAAAAAAAAAAAAAAAAAGCTTGAATGTGTAATGATGACTGATCGGAACTGACAATGCTTAAATTGCTATGCGTTGGACCAGGGGCCAATTTCACAAGAGATTTGTTTTTGGCTTTTTGACCAAAATTAAGCCTACTACGAATTTATGATAAATTCATATGTAGTATTAAGACTTAAGTGGCTATTATTCTGAAACATTAACTATGCCCTTCCTCTCACACAGGCGTGGCATTTCATTTAAGCGTTGTGATACTGCATTATCTTGGCTAAAGGTAAGCTTAAATTGTGGTGTATTAATTAAATAATAATAATAATAATAATAATAATAATAATAATAATAATAATAATAATAATAATAAAGGTCTAAAATCCAATTATTTTCAATAGACTTTACAACATATAGAATATGAAATATTGTACATGTAGAATGTGAAATCAAGTTAAAAGAAAAGGGGGGAGTCATATAAGATAATCAATAGATATCAATAGATAATCACGTCATGACTAGGGTTGATATTTTAATTCCAAATTAATAATAAAGATTGTCTCCGAATTATGTTTCTAGAATGCTAGTAATGTAGATATAACGGTACCTACTCTGCATTTTTCATACATTTTTAGCAAAGCATTTTTGGTACAAATAACCGTAATTCATGAAGTTCAAAAGAGTAAAAACCAATGTTTAAAAACACAAAGATAAGAAAACGAGAAAAAAGCGGCAACGGGTGCTTTAGTAGCATTGAAAGCAAAACCTGTGATACAAATTGCTCTTAATCCATAGCTAGAAACAAAAACAAAACCAATTCCTCAAAATCCATCAAACACAAAGTAGTCAAATTTTTTTTAAAAAATTGGGTGCTTTTGGAAATCAGTGTATCTATACCTCAAATTCAGATTAGGTGAAGCCTTTTTTTAACTCTTTTAACTGTTTCTCTCAACAAATAAACCCTTGCTTATTGATTCAATATCACTGACATATTGAAATAAATTGATGATATTTAAACTTTGTCATTAATTGTAATCATATCTTTATCTTAAGTATTTAATAAGATCGTTGAACATTATCTCCCGTTTCTCTCTTCAAAAAAGAAAGATCTTTCCACCTCTCAGGTAAAAACATGCCTCACATAGCCTACGGCGAGCGCGCCGTATGAAATGTGATAGGTCGTTATTCAGAGATAGGCCTTTTGTTACACTCAGGTGAAAATCGGCAGGAAAACAAACAAACAAATAAACAACGGTATGGCGCTGCTTTATCTAGGACCTAAATCCTGTTCTGGGTTATTGTCCTTCACAAAAACTTCGTGGTCGTACCCGTAGTGAGTTTTGAAGCTGTCAACTCCGCCATTGTTCATGACCATGACTCCGAAAACCTTTAGCGAGGACTTCCCACGGTGTCTTACAATGTACCTGGTGAGACGCACAACGACGCTAGCGAGGTCCTGGGGCCCCTAGCAGGATCGTGGCGTCTTCCCGAGTACCCCTCACGCAAAACTGGCGCGAGACAATGGCAGTGAAAGTATTAAGGGGGTGAGCTGAACGCGGCAGACGACAGTCACGCAGACTGGACATTTCTGCCTGCACAGCTTACGTCAAATCAGATTATCTTTGCGGCAGACGATCCGAGTGAAAACCTGGGAAAACGCGCTAAAAAGATGACAGACGAAATGCCCTTAACTTCGTAGACGACGTGAACGTCGTGAAATTGAATGTAATTTTCACTATTGGCGTTGACAAGGAGCTAGGATGCCGTCAG